AACGCTTTTCTCACAGGAAGATTTTTTAGACATGGCCACTGCATGGTTTTTTCCGCGTGAAGCTATCCAAAAATGTTGAAATGTGTAATGTAAATGTAAATGTAAAATGTAAATGTAAATGTGTTATATATGCCCTTGCAATAGGATTTAATAGACTACCATTTCTCTGCTCAATCTCATCCGTATTGTAATTTCCGCCAAAAAACCGTTAATTTCAGGAAGTATCACATGGCGAAACAGTGGTTGGAGGCACCGTCATTACATGGCAGCGTCAAATGTTTGAATGGATGAATACGCGAACTGATGGGCTTGTTTTGCTGGCTAAAACCTATCAAATGACGAATCAAGTGACAGTGTTTGTGAAACGAACGCTTGTTCCCTTTGTATGTCCTTTAGTGCATTCAGTTCATGTTATAGCCTTTTAGCCATTGTAGAGCTAATGTTTGCTTTTTGATCGTTAGATGTTATCATTGTATGCTAGTTCGATAACAAATTAGCATGTTCAGGTGAAACGGATTCAGTACAGGTTCAGCCGTAGCACTATGGGGGGTTTGACTGGACATAAAGGGTCCATTGGAGTCAAAATTACATTGCAGGTGAGCTGATATTGATTAACAGACGTGAAGTATTTATATAAAATAAACAAAGAGGAAAATATTCTTGGAATGTTTTATTTCACAGAATAATGCCTCCGTCGTATTCGTCGTTAGTCATTTCATCCACGATGTCATTTCCTACGACAAGCGGATTGCTCAGTTTCATGCAAATAAGATCTGCACCTTTCCGGAAGACGATGACGTCAAGTATGTACTTTACATTTTTTTCACCTTGCTCAAAATCGTATTTTCACAGGGCTGTATTCTGGTTAGGCGACCTCAACTTTCGGGTTGAGAAAAACCCAGAAGAAGTTACGGAAATGATCAAAGCGAAAAAGGAGAAGGAATTGTTAGGTTGGTCAAGCTGCTTAGACTTCTGAGATCTGGAGAATGATCATATCGTTCAGATTCCGACGAGCAACTAAAACGAGCGATGCGCGAGGAAGAAGCTTTTGCCGAATTTAGTGAACAACCGTTGAGCTTTCCACCAACATATAGGTAAGTATCGATTTTCTCCAAGAGCTTCGTATGTAACTACGCATTGAACTTGCTAATCGATGATTTCAGGTTTTATGTTGGCACTACAGAGTATGATTTGAAGCGCACTCCTTCTTGGTGTGATCGAGTTTTGTACAAGGTATGTTGTATATCTTTTCATATTTTTGACCAATGTCATAGAGGTATTCTGTGATTATTTTTTGGTCTCCTTAGTAGTCATGTAGTGCTGATTACGTGTCGACAACGACTAAATGTAAATACTGCTTTGATCACTTATTTGGTCTTATATATTTTGACAAGAATTTGCATGTATTTGTTCGTTTGTTATTTGTTAAGTCAAGTATTTGTGATGCAACGTCGATTTTGTATAGTCTCAAGTTGAGCTTTGCAGCATTTCGCCTTATCTTGTAATCTACGTTTCATTTCCCATGTAAAATGTTATGAGAAGTTCACTTTACCAGATTTTTGCCTGTATAAAAAGAGCCTAGGTCGCCGTAG